GTAAAGTGCTATACCCGTTGCGCTGAAAAAGAAGGACAATCTCAAAAAGGATTAGTAGTAAAATCTATTTTGTCCAAAGATTGGAATCATCGCGGGCAAGTTGATCTAATTGATTTACAATCAACGCCGGACAGGGAATTTAAATGGTTACTGAAATATCAAGATTAAAATGGCCAGCTTGCAAAATAATAAATGGTCGCCCGAGACATCTCCAGAAGCGTTGAAAAGAAACAATCAAGATATTGAGAATATGTTGAGAGCTTGGCTTCATGATAATAATACTCAAAATTGGTCTCTTAGTTGCTATTTCGTTCAGTGGCATAAGAACTCCTTGTTTCATAAGAGCATCGGGCGATCAAAGCATTATTTGGTGCCTTACTCAAGTAGTTTACCACATGTAACAATTAGAAGTGTTTCGACAGAAGAGGATTTGGAGGCTTTAGTAAAAGATTTCTGAAGATTTCTGAAATACAAATAATAATCCAGCTGGAAGATATTCCACATCATCTGGAAACTAGGTCGACGGATAACAATTATATAAATGAAAAATTTTCAATTGCAGAAAAAAAAATCAACTGATAAATAACAAACAATGTGTTATTCCGCAGTAAGTGATAAAACTGAATGGAAGTGTAATCTTTGCTGTAAAGAAAAAGTAATAAAAACTAAAAGAACACAGCACAATGTGCTAAAAACGTGCAACTGCCCAAATGATCCAAGCTACAAAAAAAAAAATAAATATTTGCAGGTGGGGAAGCATGTTTCTGTAGCCAGTTCCAAAATTTGACAGGGGTCCGCTTGACCATAAAGCTGTATTAGGAACTGTTCTTGATGTACGAAATGGAGTATACCAGATAGAAACTGAACATGGGCGTCTAAATCGATGGTTTTCTAGGGATGAACTTAATTCGGTTAATTCGTCAAACTTAAATACTTTCGTAGCCCCAGAAAATAACAGTATTACGTTAAGAGAAGTTGTTTATAAGTTTTCTCAATTTGGGGAACAAGGGTTTAAAAAATGAAAGTGCAAACCTAGCAAAGTTCAGTGCTGTACAAACAAATGTCTTTGTTTCAAGGCACGGGAAAAATGCCATAATAGGTGCCATTTCAGTAGTCCATGTTCTAATAAATAAAATATGCTTGTTTCTTTAAACTTAGCAAATGTTGTTTTATTCACGTTTATTTAAATATTTTATGTTTATGTTCTTCAGTTTCATTTGTATTAAAAAAATATGTAAAATATTCGTTACATTGTTTTAATTCACGTGGTAGCCCATGAAATCCATTAATTTTGACTATCTTAACTTTAAATAAAATTCATATTTTACAGCATGTCAAGCAGGAGATAATCTCAAATATTTGACAATCTGGCCGCATGTTGACCGTCGTTTTATAAAATACCTAGGCGTTTTACAATCCGTTAAGCCAAATAGGAAAATAATATGAAAGGAGAATTTGACAATCTGGCTGCCTTTTGTAAAATGTCTAGACATTTTATAAAACGGCGAGTTTTACAATTTGGCTGCGACATATACAACATACAACAGCATTACTTGAGGTACTGCCGTACATTGATTTATAAGTATCTGTTCCTCAACTTGTTTAGTTAATGTTTCGTTATTTTTATACATTTTGTTTTATTAAATACCTTACAAAAATAGTTCAGAGGCGTTAGATCAGGGATTCTTACAGACCAAATAATAATAAATAGCTTTTATTAAAAATAGTAATTAAGTCATGACGTTGCAGAATAATTAAATCCTTATTATTGTTATTATTGTTCTAAGCTTCTAAAACAAAAAACTAATATCAATATTTCACATAATAACTAAGATAAGAGCAGGTGGAATTTTTAAGAGGTTAACCAATAACAAAATTGTTTAGATACGTCACTGGTGTAATTTGGTTTAGATTCAATGTGAATACTAAGGCCAGTGACGGGTTGTGACTAAAATAATGGAGGTTTACAGTGACAGAATATAGATCTTAGTACAGATGTAGGTAAAAAACTTTCAGTGTTTTACCTAAAGGTATATTAAACCTTTCTTAAATACTGAAATGTTTTTACCTACATCTGTACTGAGATATATATTCTGTCATTGTGAACCTCCAGTATTTCGATTACCAGCCACCACTGACTAAAGGTTTACAAAGAGTTTTTAAATAAATAAACTAGAACTTTTAATAAAAAATTAGGTTTTTCATTTAAAAATAAAAATTCATTACGATTTACAGTTAATTCCGGAAAAACCAGAATTACGCCATGAGGTTACAGAATAATTGAATCAGTTATAATAAAGTTCTTACTCCAAAATTTTAAACAAAAACAAAAAACAATTTGTTATCTCATTTAATACCAAAGATACGAGGTGGCTCACCTTGTAGACCCTTCCCTAGGTCGTCTGGGTCTATTAAATTTTCATTTACGTAGACACAAATAGAAAAATCGCTTTAATGTTTAGAAAAACTATCTGTTATTGATCCGAAAATACAGGTATATAAATTCCTTTGGAAGTCCCCAATTGAATTATTTCTTAAAATTACCCCAATCTAAAATTCGAGGTTCAAATCCCGGCTGAAGCCGATTTTTTTTAGATTTTTTTTTATTAGTAAAATTCATAATTTAAAATGATTGTGTTAATTATCAATGAAATAGCTATTTAATCTTAATAACTTTTAAATTAATTTTTAAAATTTTGTAGATTTTAGATAGAGGGTTGTAGAAAAAATATACTGTACGACTAGAGTGAATTGTCCGTATCGCACTCAGAGGATTGAGCACGAGTACACTGCCTACGGCGTCGTGCATAAACTTGGTCTTCGAGCGATATGGGCATCATATCCACTCTTATTGTACAACATACTATATTATTAGTTAGAAATTTTTTTATTATTTCTATTTTTATTAAACAACCATTTTCTCAACATAAATCCAGTACCCTGTAATATTTAAAAAACATCTCTTTGAATTTATAAAGATTCCTCTATTGTATCTGAACCTGTCATTTATATATAAATCTTGTGATTCTCTTTTTCTAATTGGACTCTTTAGTCTGACAACTAAAAAGGGAGCAGAGACTGATGTGCCATAAGTCACAGTATTTAATAAAAAGCAGTTTAATTCTTTAATTAGAGTGCGAAAAGATTTTTAAATATTTTCGGTGGTCTTTCATTGATTAAAATTTGTCGATACATATTGGAAATATCAGTAGTCGTGACATAATTTATATGACCTAAGTCACATCACTAATTAATTTTTTTTTAACTAAGGATTTTTATCAAGTTTTGGACAAAAATCTATTTATAGCCATCTCTCGTGATGTACTAATTTATTTAAATTGTTTTTAAATGGAATGAACTCATCACGTTTTGTTGTTTCTTGGAAATAAGTTCCATATATTTTTTCATCTGCTCTTAAACCATTTAATTTGTGCAAATTCCGGAATATTTTTTTTTGTAACCAAAACGATTGATTATTATTACCACAACGGATTAAAAAAAACTTTATTCTTTTCTATTAATATAAAATTATTTTACAATATTTTTTTGTGTAAAGTATATTTATATTTAAATAATAAACAAATAAAAGTTAATTCTTATATTATTCTCTATACTTTTTGTTCTATAAAAATTTTAATAAAATTTAACAAAACGTGAAAAATTTAAACTTTTAAGAAAATTATTCAAATAAAAGTTGTTTGATATATCATTTTATATAATTTTTATTCTACACCTAATTTCTCTAAAATGGACCGTTTTGAGATATTTGAGAAAAAGTGTAAATAGCGAATTTTGAAGAAAACTCAAAAACGGATAGAGAGAAAAACACCAAATTTTAAACTTAAGCTTTATTCCGGCATATGGTGAATAGATTAGATTTTGGGCAGAGTCGGAACATCTGGGGGAGGGGGGTACTTTATAGGGGTCGTTGTTATATTTTATGGAATATATCTGTTACTTATGTTATGGAGAAATATTCCTTAAATAAAAGTTTCTTATAATATTATTCTTTATAATTCTGGCTATATGTAAAATTTTTATAAAACGGTCAGTATTCGAGAAATTTGACAAAAAGTGCCAAGAATTTTTAAGAAAATTGTTAAAAAGTTTGCGATATATTTTTATGTGGGGTAAAGGTCCAACTATGTTTACATGGACTGTATTAGGGGTAAATGGGTCAAATATTTTTCCATAGACAGGCATAAGTGGTAAAAAAATGAATTATTAAATGAATTAATATGGGTCAAATACAATAGGCCATTAGACTTCAGTGTTGTCGGAGACTAGGTAAGTCAGAGGAGCCCATGAGAAAAAAGTGGCAAAAAGTTCTCAACGGCCCATCGAACAATTACAGTTAAAGGGCAGTTAATTACAAATTTCAAACGGGCCATAACGATTTTACAGTTGCATGTGGAAAATACTTAAAAAGCCGTTAATGGCCCATCGAATAATTAAAGTTAAAAGGAAGATAATTACAAATTTCAAACATGCTATAACGATTTTACAGTTGTATGTGGGATCGGTTACAAAGCCATAAATGGCACATTGAAAAATTAAAGTTGAAGGGCCATAACGATTTTGCCATCGCATTCGTTAAAGGGACATGAACTTGCCACAACTTCAATGTTTGTTGGGTAGTAAACAATTAAGATATATATGAAGATGAACAAATTTAAAATGGTGAGCTATATACTTTTAAAAATGTACCAACAACAGACGAAATAAAGACCATGACTTGCTTTGGACTAAATTCAATTCAGGCGTGGATCTGGGTAGATTTTACGGGGAAGTAAATCATTTTACTCATCTTATTTTTTTTGCTGTCTCGTAAAATATCGAGGTTACAATTTAATAAATTCCAGGATTTCTTCGAGCAGCTCAGGAGGAATTACCCTATTGTCCCTTGTAACCGCGCGCCTGATTCAATATTATGGGACAAATATATAACAAGAATAAATAGCAGTAGAATAGTTTGAAGAACACCATGATATGTCTAAAAGGTCGAGGAAAGATAATAGCAACAAAGAGGGAATTTTTGTGAAGAAATTGTGGAGTCAGAACAGATTGAATAGGAGAATAATAATAATGAATGCAGAAAACGATGAAATATCTTACAAAGAAAATAAGGAAATAAAAAGGCGGAAGAGTAGAGTAGATGACGAACCAGAGATATACAGAGAGCCGGTTAGAAATTGCAGGTGAACGAGAACTCCGAGAAATATTTTAAAACCAAAGATTATTTCGTGAAATGCCAAATTATCAATTTAAAACGGGTCAGATCAACAACATAATATGTCGCGGAAGTCTGGATTCTGAACAAGAAAGAGAGTAAAAAGTTAGAAAGGTGGTAGAGAAAATTCTCAACAGGAATATTCGGTTGTATCAAAACAATGTAGGCAGAGTGGAGAAGAAGAAGAAGAACTAAAAATGAGGGAGTTAGAAAGCCATATCGTGACCCATCCATAACCCAATTTGTAAAAATACAAAAAGTGAAATGGTTAGGCCATGTGTAAATGATGAATGGTATTGAAGTATTTATTTATTTTATTTATTTATTTATAAAAGTTCATACAAGTTTACAAGTTTAATAATAATGTAATTTCTGTAGGTGAACAAGTAACGAATAGAGAAGAGGTATAAAAAAGAACGAGAAAGACATGTGAATACAAGACGGCTGGAAGTAGTAAGCAAGATTTAAAACAGTTTGAGATTCATAAACGGAAAGAGTAGACAGCTAACCGACAAAAACGGATAAATTAACAAATTGTTGCACAACAATAATAATTAACTTTTACAGTGAGATCGATAGGATTATGACATACCTGTTAGAATAAATATTATTATTGCTGAAAAATAATTTAAGCCTGATGATTGCCACAGGGTCGAAACGAGTCGCGAATTTTAATTAAATTATCTCTATAAATGTAAAATAACTATAAGCTACTAGTTTTTTCATGAAATTCACATATATTTTAAATATACTGCCTACGTGACCAACGTAAGACATTTTTTTATCGACTTACAAATATCCAGCCTACAGTTAATCATAAAAAATAATATAAAAAATACACGCAACATGACAAAATTGATATAAACAGGAAAAAAAATTCAGTTGAAGAAACCAGAAAATTAAAATCTGCTTAAAACCATGTGACGCAATCATTCAAATGTGTTCTCCATTAATATTTTAAAACCGCTTTGCCTCAAACAGCTCCTCCCTTACAAATTTTTTACTCGTTCCTATATCACTAATAAATATTTAGGTATTTAATTAAAACAAAAAACTAACCTTTATCAAATTTCACTATCCACTCTTTTCACAAGTTTCGACAGACTACAGAAATGAAAAAACGGGGAAACAGTTGCGAAGTCTGAAAACCGCAATCTGGAAACTTTGTGTTCTGAGACTGCGTGCAAGTCAAGTTGAAATAGACGATATCAAACGAACAAATTTCATATCTAATTGAATTGTCAACATTTATAGATAGATCGATATTAATTTTTTTAGAGATAACAATTTTTTTAAACGTTCGAACACCTGGATAATAAAAATCACATAACACTCGAGGAATATTATTGATCAGTTTCAATTCGTGTGGTTACTTAGTTAATTTCATATTTTATTATTCTCTTGGGTTTTTGTAGTTACAAGTAATGAACAGAGGTTCATTCAGGAATAATGAATAAAGTTTCATATATCAGAAATGTTCTCCATGTCTAAGTAAGATAAGTTTAATCGATACGATTCTACGAAATTTTTTCGAAAATATTTGTTCGAAAAATAATTTTTCAAATACCATTTTTCTCGAAAAGTAATATTTTGAAATACATATTTTTCGAAATCTATTTTTCGAATCTCTAAATTTAAAAATATACCTAATTGTTCGAAATTAAATTTATCGATTCACTTAATTTTTGAAAAGTTACACTATTGGGTTCTAATTTAGGTATAGTGCTGTTCCTAAAGTGGCGCTGGGAAACAGTAACGATGCCTGTCTTGTAGATGTACTACACTATGGAGTATAAGAGTACTAGCATTCCATACCCTACACAGAACACGAGACTTTTGGCATAAGTTATGAAAGCCGAAGACACCAATGCGAAAAAAAAAATTTCTTTCGAATCAAAATTTTAGAAAAATATATTTTTTAAATATTTGAATTTTATATTCATCTGAACTAGCCAAGTTTATATTTCATTTTATAAACTTATAAATTATTATATAATAAAATTGCATAATTCTGGCTATATTTCTAATTACAGAGTGTCCCATTAGTGCGTAATTGTTCAATATTTCAATTTGTATTATAGACATGGGAACAAGTTTCAAATAAAAGTTATATGGATTTGAAAAATACATATGTATTTTTCAAATTTTTGCCTGGCAAATAAAAATGTACGTTTTTAAATAGAACACCCTGCATTTTATTTTATATTATTTTTAAAATGTTTTTAAAAAATATTACAGTTTTGCCAAGCAATTACTTTTTTTTTGACATTAGAGAATAATGCAGAAATTATCTTATTTAGGTAGATTTACATTGGTTTCAAAATTGTTTAATATACAATTTACTCAATTTTTTCAAATGCAACACCCAGTATATTACCTTAGCATAAAATTCCAAAATTTGCCTATACAGCGATACCAATATGTTATGTTATGTTATGTTATGTTGATAATGGGGTGTTACCAATATGTTAGCCAATGACACATATACAGGGTGTCCCATCAGTGAGTAATTGATGGATAGCTGTTTTATTATTAGAAATACGAAGAAATTTTTAATATAAAAGTTGTATGACCATATTTAATAATTATTCCTTAATATACAGGGTGGTCCATATACGAGGTGCTGACCAAATCTATACACCCTGCGGGTATTTATACATTCAACCATCTGAGTTCATGTGTGGCAATAGAACACCCTAACTGTGATAATACTATCGTGTACTATACCGTCTCAGTTCCAGGCAGAGCTGTTTAAGATCATTTTAAAAACGATTTAAATCAAAGATCATAAATCGTTTGCATTTGAACAAATGATTTAAATCAAAGATCGATTTAAAAAAAAAAAGATTTAAATCAAAAATCTTTTTTAGATTTAAATCTTTTTTACAATTTAAATCATTTTAGGAAAGATTTAAATCTTTTTGAAAGATTTAAATCATTTTGGGAAAGATTTAAATCTTTTTTACAATTTAAATCATTTTAGGAAAGATTTAAATCTTTTCGAAAGATTTAAATCATTTTTAGGAAAGATTTAAATCTTTTCGAAAGATTTAAATCTTTTCAAAAGATTTAAATCTTTTTATAGATTTGGGTAACTCTTTAAAAAATGCTTTCGGTATGCCAAAGATAGATATCGTTATTAGCCCAATGCAATTCTTACCGAAATATTAATTTTAAATAATAAATATCCGATCAAGATACATTTTTTAAGGATTTATGCAGCATTGATATCTATAGTTATGAAAATTGTTATTTAAAAATGTCATGTTGATTGGTAAATAGGAATTTTTCAACCCTCTAAAAGATTCTTTTGGTATGCCTATGATGCCACAAAACAATGGAGACCTAGTTTTTAAGAAAAGTGATTTTTTTTCCGAAAAATCTCTTAAATCCGTCAACTCTTCCTTGAGTCAACGTGCTTAATGTCATACATACATAAAAATCCACAGATGCACATACATCAGACTCTTTAAAAATATGTTTTTTTGTACTTAGGAGACTCTCTCGGAAAAATGCATTTCATTTTCAAAATCTCCCGGCTATGAATAATGAAATTGAGTGGGTTGAATTAAAAGAGTTCTTCTCTTAACGTGAAGTTATTGCGAGTAAATAAATAGCCAAAGTAGGCGCGTTTGGGTTAATTTTTTTGAAAAATGTGTGGATGAATCAGGCAAAGAAATAAAAAAATTAATTAATTCGCTCTTTCTATGCCAAGCATGTTTATTGAACTGGTCAAAAATTCATAATCGTCTTAATGCAACTAATGTCAAATCTGAAATAAAAGTGTGCATAAATTTAAAATACATATGTAAAGAGTTTCAGGATTATATCGATAATGAAAAAGTATTTCCAGCTGCTTGCGGTGTAAAAAATACAACTTTACAAAAAAAATATCGGGTCAAAAATATTATAAAAATTTCATACTTAAGAATAATCTTTAGATATTGCAATTATTTGTTACACTTTACTATTTTTTGTTTTTCTTTTCTCTCGGATTTCTGATTCAACCATACTGACATGCTGGCTAGGTTATTATTGAAAAGACAGGTTGATAACGATTTTGACGAATCAAGTGATGTAAATCGTTTTAAAAAGATCGCATCATTTTACAGATTTAAATCATTTCAGAAAGATTTAAATCAATAAAAAGATTTAAATCGTTTCAAAAAGATTTAAATCGTTTTAAAAAGATTTAAATCGTTTTAAAAAGATTTAAATCGTTTTAAAAAGATTTAAATCGTTTTAAAAAGATTTAAATCGTTTTAAAAAGATTTAAATCGTTTTAAAAAGATTTAAATCGTTTTAAAAAGATTTAAATCGTTTTAAAAAGATTTAAATCATTTTAAAAAGATTTAAATCGTTTTAAAAAGATTTAAATCGTTTTAAAAAGATTTAAATCGTTTTAAAAAGATTTAAATCGTTTTAAAAAGATTTAAATGGTTTTAAAAAGATTTAAATCTAATTTTTAAATTAAAAATCAAAGATACTTTTCAGAAAGATTTAAATCATAAATCAAAAATCATTTTTTTAAAAAAGATTTAAAATTAAAGTATTTAAATCAAAAAATGTATTTAAATCAAAAAATGATTTAAATCTCACTGATAGGTGACAGCTCTGTCCAGGTATACTATACAGATCGTGCGGGTAGTTTACTTTGATAAATAATTAGTTATAGTAGGTAGTCATACTTTTTAAACCTTTCAAAGTGATTTACCAAAATTTTGCTAAATAGGCCAATATTTTTAAAAATATTTTTTTAATATTACCTTTTTGAAATTTGTATATCGAAAAATTTTATTTCGAAAAAAATATTCACAAAAAGTAGTTTTTTCGAAAAATTTTATTTCGAGAAATTAGTTTCGAAAATTTGGAGACTCGGAAATTTATATTTTAAAATGATAAATTTCGAAAAATTAACGATTCGAATAAATAATGTCGTGTAAGCCATTTTCGACCCGTCTAGTTTTA